TCCGAAGAGCACCGGAACTTCTCGCCCTGCAACTACACACGCTCCCCTGGCTCTTTTACGATCTGCCCACCCGCCAGATCAAACATTGACATTCCTTTATGACCCGAGGGTAAGTGTTTCTCCCCAGTGGTTCGCCCCTTGAGCCACTCTCGCATCCGCTGCGGAGACGAAAGGTCCCGGAGTGTAAACCAGAGGCTGAGGCTCACCTGCTGAGCACTGACTTGCGTCAGCGATATGGGTGAAATTACACAGAGAGAGAGAGGCGATGGGAGCAGAAGCCACAAACGGCATCTTTATATCATTTCCATTGTATGGGCTGCGAAAACACGTGAGAGTGTCTATGGCTCAGTGGGTGGCGCGGGGGGGGAGGAATGTGTAATAAAATTTGTGTTGACAGGTAATTGTCTCGTCTCGATTCAATTTGGCATACCCGTTCCGTGTTCCCCGGCGACGGCACAGAGGATTAAGGGGTTGTGCTCACACTTTGTCATTCACTCCCGCCAAAAGCTCCGCATGGGGATGCGTATATGACTTGGGTGTGCCTCAGAGCCTCGTGCGCCTTGTATCGCCCAAGGGAGAGACAGTCTGCCTGGAGTCTGTACTGTGCAGAATCCCAAACACTTCAGGCAATTTGGGTGCGTCTTAAAGATGCATTTTCCTATCATGCCGTCATTTCTTAGCTTTCTTGACTTCTTTGTGGGTTTCAAGGAACAAATTTGGTTGGGGAAAACACTTTCAGTGAAGCGAAAAAGGATTTTCAACAAATTGTGAGGTTATGAATCCACTCAATTAATTTTTAATAGGCTTTTCCTAACTTTTTCTAATTATTTTAACTTGATAATTAGTTCAAATCTGTTCCTTTGAAACATAAATTGGGGAAAAAGGCCCGAAAAATTATTCTTTTGATTGTAGAAAGATGTTTTTGAGGTTATGTTTAATTTTAAAAACTGTTTTAGAGGTTTTTCCACTACCAAATTGCCATAATCGCGTGTGATTTTTTAAGTGTAAATACTAAAAAAGCTCAATTCTTGTCGTGAATTGATTGGAAGTCACTCATTTTTACTTTAATTATCCGCATAACCTAGAAAAATACTAAAATTATGCCTTATCCTTTACAGAATTGCCGGAAATAATTTAAAGAAGCGTTTATTACATTAAAGAAACATATAAAAGTTAAAAATTGAAGATCATTTTAACACTTTTACTTCATTATAATTCTGATAATGAACTGTACACCAGTTCCAACCACATTATCTCGCTCTTGTGCTCACCTCACACAGACCCGGAATTAATTGAATTTATATGAGACTATCACAATCAAATTGGTCGTCTTTGAAGAAGTCCCACCGCCTCGTGCGGATCTTTTCCCGCTGCGACATATCTAATTTATAATTAAGTAGAAACAATACCCGGGACCGGCAGATACTTTAAAAGTAATAATCCCCCGCCATACCCATGTTACAAGACAAACAGCGACATGCCAGCCAACTTTTTTCCCGCCACACCCCAAACCATGGCCACCATTAAACTTTAATATTTCTGCGTCTACGCCTGTGTGTTCATCCTCATGACTTTCTCTGCTCGCTCCCAAATTATCCACTCGACAAAAGTCGAAAGGTAAATTGACACAAGACGGCATGAGAAGAAAAAAAAAGAGGAAGAAAGCACCTTCTATCGCTGAGCAACCGGTGATTTCTTTAATCTCCTTCAATCTGCTCTCTCTCTCTCTCGCTTTGTTGAATTGATAAAATGCACTTGGCTTTTATCTCTCGTCTCTTGTTCAATACACGTGAAGTTGCTGGAAAGTTCAAAGCTTCACGATGAATTCGATAAGGAGGACTTTGGTAAGAGACGGCAATCGGATGCGCATTGCCCCGTCTTGTGCGCCATGGATTATATATCGTCAAGATGATCCTCTGTTACTTCCTTCCAGCAGATTATATAACACGCTGGGTGAACTTTGACTGGTATTAAATCCATCTTAAAGTGTATTGAAACCACACTTAATATCGCAAATGGCCAATAAGATAAAGGGGCAAAGCAACAAGGCGATTTTCGAGGAAATCTTAATGCTCTCAAGCAAATACTTAATTTTATTGTTTATGACTTTGCATGAGAAAAAGATCAAATCAATCAGAATTTGAATATTTTCAGCCAAAATATTTAGATAAATTAGGTTATTTTTAAATATTTTCTAGATATTTAAATACACGATTATTTTCTCCACATTTCGCCGCGAGAGGGCAGCAAAGTTGGCGTGAGGGACGCTAATAATTTCCTCTGAAAGCTTTTCGCGTAGAAAAAGCCCCGTTTCATCATCAACTCATCAGCTGATCAAGCTTGAAAGGCATGAAGAAGTTCCAATTGAATTTCACAAAGACTCTTTCTTGACAAAGTGATATAAATATCAAATTTAAATAAAAAGTCAAGAAAATCATTGAGTAATCACAAAATTAATTATCCCAAATTGCGAGTGGTTTTCCTCTTGTTGTTCAAATGAAAGGCAATTTCTTAAGCACATCGATTTAAGACACTTGAAAGCTCTTTCTCACGAGGTGAAATCTTAAAGAAAAATTTCTCATGCAAATTTCTTTTGCCAAATCTTTGTGGTTGAAGTTAAAACACACACACAACACACTTTGATGTTGAATAAATTTTGAGCAACTCGTAAAACCTTCAGGGCAGATAAAAGTTGTTGGGAATTTCGACACGAGGTGAAAGTTTCATTTGCGTATTTTTCGCAGTGTTGAGATCATCTTCACTTGCTCATCTCAAATATCTCCCTCAGGAATGCAGCGCCCAGAGTGGAATGAATGTTGTCTTGAGGTGTTTCTCCCCTGGGCACATTCAACCCTTCTCGCACAGCCAGAGGATGCACTGTGGGGGTGGTTTTCCGCGAAGGTTCGCAGATGTAATTTGCGCAAATCGATTAACGGCACGCAAAGAGTCTTTCCACCTTGGCTATAGTCGCCTGTGCGGAATTCCATCGCGGGTGCATTTTTATGATAAACGAGTGCATTCCATTTGATACCCAGGAGCCGCACGAGGTGCTCGGCGAATGGAGCAAATTGAGCGGCGTGAGAGTAAATTAAACAACTATAAATTGCACTACAAGTTATAACAATATGAGTGGTAAAAAATGGATGCAATTATAAGCGAGAAGGCGTTCCACATTGCGATTTACGAGTATTTACCTCGTTCTTCGCTCTCTCTCTCCTTCACGCCGCCTTCTCACTTGCATCCAACCTGGTTATTAACGTGCAGTGAAAGACTAATTTGCACCCAAGACTCTCTCGCCGACATCGCGCGCGGCGATATGTGTGGGCGTGCGAGATAAAGTGACTTGCGGGCTCTTCATCGTGTACTTTGGGGTAATTTAGCTGTTATTAAAATTTAAATTTATGGCCTGAAATCAACCCTCCAAATACGGGGGTGCACAAATACGCTGAGGCTGAAAAAATACATCTCCTCAAGTTGAAATTTGTCAATATTTACACGTTTGATATTGAGATTTTCATGTGCCAGACAAACAATTTCCTCCACTCTGTGCCATTTTTAGCCATCAAAATGTGTAAATAAATAGCACAAATTGTATCACAAATAAGCCGCTAATATTTTTGCAGATTCAAACAGTCCATTTGACTCTTTGACTTCATCCTTGCAAGCTTCCATTTTCATCTCAATTAAAGCTTATAAAGCTCAAAAGTCCGCCCATCTGCTTGTCCAATCAATACTAAATAATAGTTATGCTACTCCTTCGGCCTGGCATGAATCCAATTTGCGCGCTCGCCGCCCAATAAGTACTGATTAAATTTGCAGATAATTGGGATAATGAGTGGTAATTGAACAATTTTTTCTTCTGCCAGGCATGTGAAAAGCACTTAATTGCCTCGCGAGTGCCGCAAAAAGCCGCTCTCGCGCGCACACACACAAATCCGCGCTCAAAATGAGCTTTCGAGGGGGCTCGATATGGAAATTGATGACGTTTTTATTGGAGTACAGCTTTGTTGATCAATAAATTCCGAGTTGGGCCGGAGAGAATGGGTGGCGTTTTTTTTTCTCACTCTCGGCGCTCTGTGGGAAGGAAAAAAAGGGGCTCATAAATTGAGTGAAATACAGAAATATCCGGAATTTTCGCCAGAAAGCCACTGATGAAAGCTCACAGTTGTTTTCGCGCCCTCCCGCAGAGTCAGCTCACTATTTTAATACAGAGTCGTGGATGAATTCGATGAAAGGAGGATTTGTTTGCCTCAAGGGGAAGATGATTTGCCTTCGATTTGTACACCATTCATGACGTTGAACACAAAATTCTTAGACTATTTTCACGCTTATTCTCAAATTCTCATAAATCTCTTAAATTGCCAACAGATATTTCCTGGAAAACCCTCTAAAATATGCTTTTCTGAGTGTCTTTTCCAACCATAACCTCAAAATTCCACTGAGAAATCTTCAAAGACTCCGTTTGGGAGCTTTCTGGGTCACAAATTCAGCTGTTATGATTTACAAATGAATTGATTTAGAGTCAAAATGGTTCAGAAAGTCTTCTGAACAAACATTTTCCGACTTCAAATGTATCTTTGTGAGGTTATGTTCAATTTTATAGGGATTTGCGGTGTTTCTTGGCATCAAATATTCCGAATAGCTCTCTTTATTGCTTAATTCATGCTAATTGATGTGCTAGAATGCGAATTCTTCCCTAAATCTGTCCTTGATTCGCTACATAACCTAGAAAATGACTAGAAATTCAAAGAATCAGGATGATTAGTTTTAATATTGTCACTTTTTGAGTCACTTCCACTTCCGTAAACCGTACACCACTTCTTGGTTTGTTATCTTCCCCTTGGTTTGCCCGACAGAGATGCTTTTTTTGTTGTTAAATTGTGTAAATTTAATGGCGGGAAAAGCTTGTGAACAAGCATAATTCCTTGTATGGCAATTGGAATTGACTCTCCTGGATTATTTCCACTGACTCTGGGCGTGTTTTTCTCGTGTAATTGCAGGTAAATTGGGTGTGAGTGGGCAGAAGTGGACGACAAGCCGCAACTCCCTTGTGAGCAGAAATCTGGACGCTGTGGTGAATGAGTAGAATACAGCAAACGAGCTTTTATGATGATTGTAAACAATGTGTGGACAATACATGATCCCAGTGCGGTGGAATGTGAGGCAAAGCGATGGGAAATGCGGGCTTCTGACGGCACACGCGTGCTGCCGTAGGTGCAATCAATCGGACACGAGTACATTTTTCGGCGCGCAAGTGCGTGAGTGTGGTGACAATGGAGCTGCTGCATCAGGTGAATCTGACAATGGCGGATGACTTCCTGTCGATGGTCAATGCGTCATCGTCGACCATTCTGTACGCCGCTCTCGCCACCAGCAGCGCCAATATCAGCGGCAACGCCACCTTCTTCGCCGTGCTGCCCAGCAAATACAGCCTCGCGCACATCGTGATCGCCTCCATCGTGGTCACCATCCTCATGGTGATCATCGTGGTGGGCAACATGCTGGTGATCATCGCCATTGCCACGGAGAAATCGCTGAAGGGCATCCAGAACTGGTTCATCGCGTCACTCGCCGTGGCGGACTTCTTCCTCGGCCTCGTCATCATGCCCTTCTCGCTGGCCAACGAGCTCATGGGCTACTGGATCTTCGGCGCCTGGTGGTGCGACATCCACTCCGCCATGGACGTCCTCCTGTGCACGGCCAGCATCATGAATCTGTGCCTGATCTCCCTCGACAGGTAATCAATCGACCCACACGCTTTCCATAATGAGATTCACGGAATTTCACTCGTGCTTAATTATAAACACTCCTCAAAGTTTCTTCATGATTTCACACATTTATCGATTGAGAAAATTGCTGTTAATCATCCACACTCATCATCCCCAGATTTATCCGCAGAGTCTGCAGAAAGACGCGAAGTCGTCTAGTCGATTTGCGGTTAAATATTTAAACAGCAAACTCCACAATGTTTACGTGACCTTTCACTTGAGATGAAAATAACTGGGGGAATTAATTGAGGAGAACATCAGCGGCGTAGGAAGTGTTTATTTCCATTGCAATGCTGGAAGAATTTCTGCTACACTAACTGAAAATCAATTGTTATTTCTGAAATTGGGCAAAATTTGATAACTGCGGGAAATATGGAGAATGCAAATTTGATTAAATTGAGGTTTCATTCCTGGAAAATTCACAGGAAACTTGATAATTTGCAAGAACTTTCATGGCAAATTAATTGATCCTCAGATACTGGAGCATCACGAAGGCCGTGGAGTATCTGAAGACGCGCACGCCGGCCCGGGCGGCCGTGATGATCGCCTCCGTGTGGATAATGTCAGGAGTCATCTGCATCCCGCCGCTGCTGGGCTGGAAGGCGAAACGGCCCGAAGGTCGAGCCCTGCCTCAATGTCAGGTGAGAGTCTTTGCCTGCCACGTGAGTGGCGAGCAATAAAGCAAATTGATCTAATGGAGATGACGTTGAGATACTGTGCGTGTGAAGACTCCCACGGAGAGAGAGAGCTCGACGCCGTGCGAGAGCTTTTATAGATTTATGGACAAACATATAGAGCTTTAATGCCCAAAAGTCACTGTTATTCGCACCATGTACAGCAGCGGCCACACTCCCACCCCCCGCTGGCGCTGGGGGTAGTTTTTCCCAAAGGGGCGGCACAATTGAAAATGTTCGACGGTGGCCACAGAGGTCACACACTGACACGGAGACACGTAAGCAATTATATAAATTACACACACTCTCTCTCTCTCACTCTCTCACTCTGTGAGACAATTCCACAAGAAGTCCCTGAGCTTTTCTTCGGGAAAAGCTCTCGCACGCTGAGCTCACAGTGCAGAAAATGAACTTTAAGTGCCACTTACAAGTGTAATTGTATAAATTGAGTGTGTCTCCGCCATCATTGAACCTTCGGGAGGGTTTTCTTGGGGATCCATAGACGAAGGGTGTCACTTGAAGGGACACTCGAAAGGGACTTTTCCCTTCTACAACATTCTACTCGGCTTTCTCCGCCTCTCTGGCCTCCAAAATATATCCATAATCTGTGGCCAATTTCCACCCAGAGTCTCAAGTGTTTGATTTTACAAGGGGACAATTCAGAATTATCCATGCAGTTTCGATGGGGGGGGAAAAGCCAAGGGAAAAGCTTGAAATTGCGCCATCAAGTCATATTCACAGGACAATCCAACAGAGCTTTAAAGTTCAGGCTATCAATTTTACTATAATTGCATTTGTTGTTGTTGAAACTCTCTTACAACAACTATTATGAAATGCTAAGTTAATTTAATATATATTGTGGAGAAATTTATTAGGTTTGGTTTTTGGGGAATTGTAAGAGCTTTGGGAGAAAAGTGAATTTCGGGTATATTTCAGAACTTTAAATAGAGTTTAATACTCTCAAGAGAAACTCTTACATTATAGCTCTCGAACTAAAGACTCTGAATAATGGTCCATAATACATCAAATGGAGAAATGCTTTAAGCTCGATATTTCTCCATTTGCATGATTCTTTATGTGGTTTCTCCAGAGTATCTGCTTAAATATTGAAAATGTGCTGCAACTACGTGAAATGCAGTTTTATATTGTGTGGTGCTTAGAATTTGGGCTAAAACCCATCATATATATTTGAGTTTGCAGAATGCAAACCATCATTTCGTGGGCTAAATTTGCGAGGCCGTGTGCAGAAGACAGGCGGATTTGGTGTGTGGTGAGCACACGTGAAATTGGAAAAACCGCATGTGACCTCATCATGTGGCGACGATTTAAGGGTGGCGGAGCGGCAATTGTGATTTCTGCGTTCTGCGGCAATCACAGTGCCTTCAACACGCACGATTCTCACCGTCTTTGATGTTCAACTACACGATAGTGCCTAAATGCCACTCGCTGGCGAACCGCACAGATTCCCTGCCGAAAAACTTTATTTCCAACACGTCTCGGCTCTGCACCCTCGTCAAAAGCTCCCACCGTCTCTCGGGGGTTGCTCAGGCCGATTTGAATTGAAGCGCGCTGCACAGAGTCTTCAATTCATATGCCAAGCCACTTTCTCTGCCAAGAGGAAGGAAATAATAATCCCTAACACATCTCGGGACTTCAGACTTCATGGATTGTTTGAAACAAGATCAAAAATAACCGAAAACTCACTGAAATCTAACTGCCAAATTTAAAACTCTAGTTTTCAGACTGTCCTATGAAATTTTTACACAATATTTGATGAATTTCTTCTTATAATTGACCTTTTTTCACTTCTCTTTAATTCTTCTTGGATGGAAAATAATTTCGTTTCCATTGCAAGAATTTCAATTTTAAACTCTAGGTTATGTTAAAGAGGCAAAAATCAGTGATAATCCTTAAATATTCCTTCAATGATATTTGCTAGAATATTTCTAACTCAAAATTGCTCCTTTTGAGTGAAAAATTGATGTTATGCTTGACTTTAGCATTGTTCTTCCAGAATCCCAATTTTCATTGAGAAAAAACACACAATTCTACTAATAAAGTCTAAATTCTTCCAGTTTAAGCACAAGAATTTCTATTTTAAAATGTTATTTAGTCTCAAATGACGTGATTTAAAATTAATTTGCGAGAGTAAAACATTCCACAAACTTCTACTTATCTTTTACATCACTTCTGACCATATTATCTCCCCCTTGGAATGTGCTGTTCTTTGCCATTTTTTTGGGGGTAAAAATTTTTGCAGGATTCTGCAAAATTGTGTTTGAGCTTAAAGCGCGCGCTGAGAAAGTTCGGCTGCAAGACGGCCAATTCGTAAGCAATTTGCTTGCGCCAAAGTCATATAACAATTTATTGGGGGAGCAATAAAAGGCCGGCATTCGTTCTCACTCTCTTCCATCATGTAAATATTGGGTGCAAAGAAGAGATCTGTTGGCCTCTGCCAAGAATCCATCGGAGGAAGAGAAAAAAAAAGTCTTCAACATCTATAAATTTGACTTGAGCGAATTTCAATTGAACAGCCTGAGATTTTTGTAGATGGAGGGAAATTAATTTGTTTCCCAACTTTTTTTTTCCCTCTCATCTCGGCGTCTCTCTATCTTAATTTGCTGGGGAAATCCCAGCCACGCTCCGGGGCGCCTCGACGAATGTATTAAATATTCACCTCTCACATTCGCATCCCCCTGGGGAGGGGGTGAATGCTGAGGGAAATGAGCAGAATGATGAAATAAATTTTTATTTGTTGAGAATTCCTATTAGCACCACCCCTTTCAAATGAGAATTTCACCTTTTATTATATGAATTCCACGTTTCCCACCCCATTCGCGCAATTTATGTAACACTGGCACATTTTTTTCCCAACGCACACACCCTCCCACCCACCCCAAAAACCATATATACTCAAAGGCATCAAAGTGAGAGTATGTCAAAGAATTTTTATTCGCTTATCTCCCATTCTCTCCCTTGTTCGCTTGCTCTGGGGGTGAAAAAAGAACGTTGGGGAGACATTTTTCACGCGCGTTCGCTGGCAAAAGAAAATGCCATTTCCTATGGCTTTCGCGCGACAAATACAAGACTTGATTTCATATATAATTTCCGCACAGTTGGAAAAGCAATGAAAGAAGATATGAAGATTTGTAATTATGAAACTATTACTCAAATTGCACCCAATTCAATAAACACCCTTAGAGACATAATTATTGACACATGAATTGTTTCTTGAATGTCTCGGGAAAGCTGGTGTAATTTTCCCTTTTTTGTTTTCCAATAAATCTTTATGGGCCAGTAAAATTCACGTGATTCTCAAGCATTACTTTTTATTGCCTCCGAGAAAGCAAGATCCTGGATTTCTTTTATTGCTTTATCTTCTAATAATTCAATTCCATCAGTGTCAATGTATAATTTAGCACAGAGTTTGACTTCTGAATGCAAAATGCAATTCCACGGATAAATCGGAAACTATGAAAAGCTTAAATCGCAATTTTTCAGCAGAGCGAGTTGAAAATTTAGCGTTAATACAGTTAAGAAATTTGTCAAATTTACTTCAAAACCCTGAAAACGCATTCAAATCGTTCGTTAAAGTGCAAATATTGCTCTGTTTTTATTATTTTGTAAATATTTTAGTTGATTTTATTGAAATGTTTGACTAAAATATGGGAAAAATCATAGAAATTTGATTTTAAATAGTCTTTGAGCCGATTTTATTATAAACAAGTCCTAAAAATCAACTTTTCATATTTTACTTGAACTTTTCTTTACAGTTTTTAAATAAATTTTTTTTAAAGATCTGAGAAATATTCATTCAAAGTCTAAGAAACATTTTAGGATAATTCTAAAGACCTAAATTATTGTCTGAAAAGGCGTTTTATGCGTTTGACTGCAATTTTTATTCATTTTCCTTAGAACAATTATTGAATATTCGACTTTTCACTCGTAAAACATAACATTTTTTCCATTTGTGTTTTTTTAAATTAATAAAATTTTTGACTATGGTCTCATAAGAAACAGATTTCAAAATAAAAACCCTTTTAATAAATGACGAAAACTATGATAAATCGACTTTTCATAGTTTTTAATTCACCCGTCGAATTGTAAGGATAATTTTCAAGTGTGTGGTAGAATTCACCTTTTCAATATGGAGATGCCACAAGGGATGAATACTGTGTGGCAATCCTTTCAAAATCACACCCTCGTCGCCTTTTCACGGGCAACTCGTGCGAGGATTATTTGAAATTTGAAATTTTCCAGAAACATCCTGTCGCAGGAGCCGAACATGCGACACTCTTGTGACCAACACGAGCGTGAGAGGAGGTTGTGTGCAATTGTTACCCATGAAATCTGCAAAGGATCAAAAGCTTTCACAGTGAACTAAAATCCCTTCGCTCTCATATGTGCGACATAATCCCAAAGCATCCCTCTGGTGAATCACTATGAATAAATTGCGGCAGGGTCACTTGTAATTTTCCTGAAAACCCCCACATTAATTATGGGCGCAACAAGGAGTCTGTGGCAAATTAAAAAAAGGAGCTCTGAGGATAATGAGAACGTGTGTGTGTGTTTGGTAATTGGATGGTTTATTTGCGATGCGTGCATAATTCTTCGTGGGTCACCAGAAAGTCGTCTTCTGCATTTGATGTTTGCGTAATCAGAATTTTTGGGGTGTGTCTGAGGGGGTGAAACATAGAGACGGTATAAAACATTTTAATGCGCTTCCCTGCTTGCTGGCCGAATGGGGATAATGAACCGCTTTTCCCCACAGAAGGAATTGAATTATAGGGCAACATAATCTCCGGCAATTGCCTATTAATGGATATTTGCCATATATATTCTCAGTCGTATCCGCTTCAAATCTGCGAAATTGTTGTGAAAAGGGAAATTGTTGGCCGGGGCCAGAAACTGAGCAGCATATGTGGTACAATGGGGGGTCCTTTTCGTCATAAATGAAATAATGTAAT